AATCCATTCAAACACAACAACTGTTAAACTAAGCGTTTGCTGAGCTTTTCATTCATTCAATATTTACTTAATTATATGACATTTGTTGAGTTCCCAAATGGGAAGCAAACTATCTATACATTTAGTTAACGGATCTGTTTCCGAGTCCAAGACTGCCAACCGATATAAATATTGTCGCCATTTAGCGGCTCCACGACTGTTGAAACCGTTGCCAACCATTTGAGTGCTCAATAGTCTGCAGAAGAATTGCATTCTTGTATCAATTGACCGTCACTTCAACTCAAGACATGCCTTATCTCGTGATCATTCCTCGAGAGGTATGCGTTAACGGATTGTGTGATAAACGCTGGCTTATAGACAGTGTTAACGTAGGGATGGGTGAGATCGACGTGAGCCGTGTTCACAATGGCGTGAACTCCAGAGTCCGTACGACTACTAACGGCAAGTCTGGCCCCATATATGGGTCGCAATTGTCTCTCAATGGCTTTCTTCGGGAGAAAGAGACTCGTCTTGTAATCACTATTTCCACAATTAATGGTCAAACCATATGATTGTCTCTCTCAACACAATTTACCTCAATTTGGTATTGAATTGATTGGTCAGTGATTGCCATCACATCCACGACATCCCTGTTTGCCTGTCTTTGAAGGCCTCTATAAATGGTTAAATATTTATGAAATCAATTCAAATGCAATACAATTTAGTTATGGTTTACGTATAATTGGTTCCCAAATAAGAAAATTTCAGTAAATATCGACATGTCTTGAGATCCTTATATGAAATGCTTTTGCCATTCATTTTCATGATATGTTTGCATAATTTCATTGAATAATCATTAAATACATTATATTTAATCATAATATGAATGATTATAATTGAACTATAGTTAGGTCACTATAATTGAGTGTTTGATTGCATTGAAAGCATGACTTGATTGCAGTTTGAATTTGTTTGTAAACAGAGTTTGTGTTGACTGTAAAAGGCATCCAAAGATGTCATTTCATACACACATCACATCTCACTGTAGAGTCTGTACACTCTGTACACCACATTCACTGCTATTCACAATAATCAGTCACTTATAGGATGACCAAATCATCCTTCCCTGCAAGGATTGTCCTTCTTTTAAACTCTCAGTACTTCCAATTTCCGTTCATATTGTTTGGATAAAATGCAGTTTATTTTGTAATTAATTATTTGCTTAGCATTTAAGCTGATTTTGAATCTGATTGATGGCATAAAATGAGTGTACATTAAATAGTATGTTAGTTAATAGTATTATGACATTTGAGATTACTTTTATTTCTAATGATTAATTATGGTTACAATTAAACATTTACTTAATATTTAATTAATAGACAACAAATATATTGATAACATTAATTT